TTAGCGCACTATGCCTTGAGATGAAAGATTTGACAGTTATAACACTGGTTTTCTGTGTTGCCCAAGATTTGAATCTCACTTCCTGTGAACTTTTTTGAACCTATTGTAACAAAGTATTTGTTGTTTTTTCTATAATTAATTTACATTAAATATTTAAAAAAGGCAATGTTGTATATAAATGGTTCTCAACCAGAGACCTAAAACAGAAACGTATTACACAATACTGTAGACCATTAAAAACACACTTTCTCTTTCCCCAATTTCAGCTGTTTTTTACTACGCTGGCCATGGCTATGAGCACTCTGGCAGAAATTACCTGGTGGCCATTGACGCTCCACGACCCTACCGTACAGAAAACTGTGTGTGTGTACAGAAAGTGATGCACAATATGCAGAACAGAAAAGCCCAGCTCAACGTCATTCTCCTGGACACCTGTAGGAAATGGTAGGCCTGCAGAAACATGATGATCTATTGTTTGTTAAAAAAAAATGAAACGTCTATTTAGAATTCCAGTTTCTTAGAATTGTTTTGGAAATGTTACAAGATAATCATTTGGCACGCTGCTACACTGTTTTAATGGTTTTGCTATTTTATACCCTCCAGGTACAAACAAAAAGGTCCTCTCTCTGATATTAAGCCTTCAGCTCCTCTGGGCAACACTGTGTATGGATACGCCACGTTAGTACTGGGTTACAGTTCTTTTAAGCCTCCAACAAAACTTCTTAAACAACAGTGATTGTGTACTTTTTGTATTATCATGACTTTGCTCCCACAGGAGTGAAGATGCAGAGGCTTTTGAGGTCCAGGATGGTGGCAAGAGCACTGGGATCTTCACCAAATACCTGAACAAACATGTCTTAAAGCCAGAGAGGGTGACCCATGTCTTGGAGCAGGTCTCTGAGGGTGAGTGCTTCTACCAATACTGTTCTGTTCCAAAACGTTGAGAGCTGCCTCACTACCTACTGCCTACATAGGCAGCTTCCTTCTAAAGGAAGGTCACATTTTCGTAGGCAAAATACAGTCATTTCAAACGGAATCCACGCAATCGTGAATGAGGGTGAAAGAATTTCCCATGCAGATTTTGCAACGCCTTCAAGCTGGTCTCAGGGATTCGCTGTGATTACTAATATAAAGCTGCCTGGTTTGAAAGTGACTTCTGTGTGAGCTGTTCTTCATACACTGCTACACTTTTGACAATAGACAATGGCCTTTTTGCCCATAAAATTTCACAGCAACTCTCATTTCTAGAGGTCTTACATTTGAGGACAAAAAATAGTAGGGCCTTATGATTTCTGTGATGTGGAAAATGTGGACAAAATCGCAGAATCCAGTCATAAAAGTGAAATGTACTGTATAACGAGAAATGTCATAGAATTTGGCAAACTTTGGATGAACTTTTAATCAAATTGAATATGGAGTAATATCTGTGAATATTAACCTGCAAAAATTGTTCTAGTTTCGTCTACTATACATACTCAAGCATGCATGTTTTTAGTGTCTACTGTCTCACTATATGAGAACTCATGAATTTCATCTGCAGAGCTGCTCTGAGAGTTTACTTCTTGAGCATTTTACTATTTCATTTGATAAAACTATTTGGTAGAATGTACTTTTCAAAATAATAAAAACAATTCAGTAATACAGTTTATTAAACCATTACTTTTTAAGGAATGTCACAATTTTTTAAAAACTGTAAACCGCCAGTTGTTCAAATTTAATTTGAGTACATTTGAAAAGATTCATTAAATTATTAAAGTTGTATGCATTAATATGATTACCCCCCATATTAGCTAATAAAAGCTATTAATAATAGTTAATAATATAAACCGTTATAGTTAAACTTTTTATAAATAATTAAATGTTAAAGTTTTATGAGTTGATTAGACATAATTTTTGAATATTAAAATGTAATTAAACTATTAAAACAGAATCCAGAAAAGTTTAAGCATAAATTATGGAATTATAATGAATTTCACAGGGCCCTAAAACAGGAATCGCAGTATGTCCTAATGTGATTATTAAAGGTGATTTATTTAATGAAATGTATATGAGAGATGCATGTGCAAAGGTCTCCAACTG